ATGGGTGTCGCTATGGCTTGAAGCAAAGGTATGCTAAGAAACCCATGCCAATCAAGAAACCATGGAGAGTTGTTTCATGGAACTTTGACCTTGGTAACTCGTTGTCTAAGAAATGTAATGGAAACCATGAGCATGGACCTTGTGCCGGTCGTGAAACCAAAGAAACCCAGTTGTACACGTCGTTAATTGTGGGTGTGATCCTCCGTCGTTTTCGTGCTCGAGCAAAGTGCCTCCAGCCGGCACCATTGAAAATCACTCTTGCTTGCATTAAGCGAGGGAGATCGCGGAAGCATCAGGCGACTGCGTGTGAGATTCGCACCACCCCGACTGTACCACCAAGGAGCTGGGTTAGTCCCGAACCTCTGGTGTCAACGGGGAGCTGGGCTAGTCCCGAACCTCAAGTTTCGAAGAGGAGTTGGACCAGTTCATCACCTCAAATCAGGAACTGGGCTCGTATTGGGACAATTCTGTGGCTTTATTTGCAGCTGCTTATTTTGGGTTTTCCCGGTTCTGGAGAATATCATCAAGATGACTGCCAATGCGACCGTCGTCAATACGAATGAATTCTTCTGCGTGCCTGTTGGGAAATCCAGACAAGCGGCAATATTCTTGGGGAACCTCGTGAAGAACGCCATCGAGGAGGGCAAAAGAATACCCAAGAGAATGGAGATGGGCAGCGACCTGGGCATGTGCATAAGGTGGATCGAGGACATTGGCGTCCCCGCTATCTACGCCTACTCAGCGTATTACTCTGCCAAGTGCCGCGCAATGATGAAAGGAGAAGGGCAATCCATGAGGGTTGCATTGGAGTTTATCAGCAAGGTTTTCGGACAACTTTCTGCTGACGAATGTATGCTTGGTTGGAGGGAATTCTGCAGCAAAGGGAAGAAGATCGTGGCGGCGCTGAACCAGCTTTGCGGTGAGGCATCGCTGCTAGCGAAGAACCCTGAACTGCTCAACGTCACCAAGTACTGCATAGAAGGGGCAGATATGCTGAGATCCATCACAGACATCTGGGATCTCGCATCGGGTGTGGCCGAAGACAATGAGGAACGGTCGTTCAAAGCTGCATTCCACCAAGACACCCAGGTCGGGGAGGTATACAAAGAGTTCATCAGCGATGAGCCAACTAGAGCCTCGTCGTCGAGAAGGTGGAGGAGCTCCGAGGAGTTCCTGACGACTGCAGAGTTTGAAAGGCACGATCGGAGAATTTCGAAATTCAGAGATCGAAACTGGGGGAAAGTATTCACGTTGAGCGTGATCAAGGCCCCCAAGCTCGACTTCTACGGTCGTGGCGCAAAGGACGACTACCAGAAGAATTGGGACCTTGGGCTGATCTACCAGAATGAGCTGCACGCATCGATGAAGAACCTCGCATATGCACTGAGAAGAGATGAAGAAGCCAACCAGCACAATCTTTTGCGCTGGATGATCTGTGGGTCAACCCCCAGTGACATCTCTGACGCGTGCATCGGGGCAATCAACTCGCTCATGTGCGTTTCCTTCATCGTGAGGAGGTTGCAGCCATTGCTCGGTGAAAGGCATGCTAGGGATCAGTCGTACACAGCTTATTTCCGTCAAGACAAGAATGAGCTAAAGGAACTCTATCGAGAGGTCGAGTTCGCCAGGAACTTCCTGTGGTGCATCGACATGATCTACGAGTCAAAGCTGCCTGCGATGAACATCAACTCCATCAGTCTGGCACCACACGCGGCTGACAGGGCCGCTGAGAACCAAGATCGGCGCAAGTGGGTAAGCTGGCTGAAGGAGATCGAAAAGAAAGCCGAGAAGGACGTCATGATCGACTTCTACCAGAACACCTACTGCACCATTCACGAAGCCGAGAGGGAACTGGAGAGGTACCCCGAGGACTTCGCGATCGGAGAGGAGCCGACGTGGTGGGTGATGGGCTCATCGAAGACGGAACCGCCGCAGAAGACGGGGCGACAGCAGAAGTCAGCGTCAAGCTCCGGGCAAAGGAGCTAAACCTCTGGTGGGCCAGTCCCCCAGCAGGGAGCTTCAAGTGGGGGGTCGTATGCTAGCGATGCCGTCAAGATCGACAACGAGATCATCGACTCCATTTTCCGCATGAACTCCGGTGGTGATGATGACAGATGGACAACCATCAACCCAACTGCTGGGCTCGACACATACACCTCATTCGAAGGGGGTATTACTCTGAGCGGCGCGACTGTCAATGTGAAGTTCAACATAGACACCAACACAGGGTACCCAATCATACAGACTGTATTTGGGCCGTGTCTTGCAGAAGGGAAGAACGCGACATATTGGGAGTGTATGCTGAGATGCCTGACTTCTTCGCTATTGCATTTCGAGGAGAAGACCAGCGCGGAGAAGATTATTCTTTCCTATGTTGGGAAGGGGAATGCGGCATGGCTTCAGCTGTATGCTTTCATGTGTGCCCAAACAGGATGCTTGATTACTGGACGCCTTCCGGGCGCCAAAGCCCGGACAACGCACCTGGACAGTTGAACCGGATTATCAAGAAACAGAAAAGGGGCCCCATAGGTGAGGCAACGATTCGCGATATGATGATCCAGAAGAAGAGCTTCTTGGTCCTGGACTGGCCCCTGAGGGCTGTCAACGCGAAAGGGAGCACGAAGACCTTCCAAATGATGGTCAACGAACAGGGGTGGACAAATATCGAAGAGAGATCATACTATGGGTCGAGTGAGCAAGTCTCCTCGCCCACTGATACGATGAGTATTATCTCCCGTTTACAGAAACTGGAAAAGCTCATTGTCGAACGACGGAGGCGAGACATGGATGACTCACCTGTGTCGGTGCGACATACCGGATGTCGCTCTATGATTGGGTGTGCATGAGAGGGTGTGGGTGGCAGGTGACCGCCAATCCCATCATCGACTCCTTACAAAAGGCGATATCCGACCTCGTCAACACATGCAAAGGCCTGGTCGTGGTGTGCGTGAATCGCGATGTAGCTTTCCATGGAGGAAGAGGGGACTTGGGGACGATCGCCAACAAGGTCAGCGAGATCTGCAAGGCGGCAGGCGCGTTGGTGACCGAGAATGATCGCCTGTGGCGCGTTGCCCACGCGCTCACAGGTAAGAACTACAAGATCCCTGGGAGCTCGAACCTGCAACTTTTCCTCCTGAAGCGGTTGTTGGTGGAGAAATCCATCGATGTGATCGCACCGAGCAACGCGTTTGTGCGTGAGCTGGAGGAGACATGCATAAACGAGCCCGACCTTCGCTTCAATATCCCGAAGAACATGGAGGAGTCGAAGGTGAAATTTGAGTACAAGCCGACCTTCACTGCCCAATCAAAGCGAAAACAAGAGCGGCAGGACGAAGGACAAGGCGGACAAGATGCGTTTGGGAACACCGATGTCAACGATCAGCGTCTTCGATGGTATTCGGTCACCGAGCTCAGTGGATTGATCTGCGAACTTTGTGTGAGAGAGATGCAGGTGAACAAGTCGAAGGTGCTCGGACCAAACTCAAAATTCAATCCCACTTCTTGCGTGAACTGTTGCGCAAACTGGAATGCGGACACGAACGGTATCGTGAGATCAACCGAAGGGAGGAAGCTGTATACGCGACTCTTCGCGGAATGCGTGGTAGCAATCCCTGATCTTCAAAACCTCATGGTGGACGTCAACAATGTTCAGGCCATGACCACGATTATACGGGAACTCGCATATTCTAAGCTGAAGAAGGAGCTATCCCACGTGGGTTTCGTGAGCATGACAGTGGATCATGCAGCACAGTTCTTCAACAACGGTCACGGGAAGCAATTGTGTGCATCCCGGGATGTGATCATGTGCAAGAATTCCGAGGGAGTTGAGGAGAGGACCTCTATCTTCATGATAGACAAGGATCTTGGCAACGTGGCCTATTCATCCTGGATCAAGAGCGTGCTCGATCAGGGGACGATGTATGACCTCCTGGGACAGACTTCGAACGAGGAATCATTGGGGGACGTCGTCGAGATGATATTGGGTTTCTTTGAGGTGATGTCGTACTTTCAGCACGAACTACCGCTGTGGAAGAGCGTATGGAAGATCAAGAGGGAGTTCGAGCAATCAATCGTACGACACCTCGCCGGGAACGTGAGCCACACGACGGGCCAGAACCGGAAGCGGAATAAACCTTCCGCACAGCTCGGGGCGCCCACAAAAGAAGTGCTGGACATCATGAACAAGGTCAAACCCAGACATCCGCGATCCCTGATGACCGAGCCTGCTGCCCAAGGGTCCAAGAGAAAGGCAACGGAGGGCGAAGATGACGGTCTTGGTCAAGTACCAGACCCGAACCGAAGCTCTCAGCCCAACGCTGAGAAAGAAGAAAAGAAGCAGCGAGTGATTGATGGGCGGAGAGCGGCACTCGGATTCCTGGAATCAATGGAGAAGTGCATGGGAGAAATGGGAATTTGTATGAGGTGCGCGAAGATCCGTGAGCTACTCAGCAGTGATCATGTTTCCTCGGATGAAGAAATGGGGGATACGGAGGAGCCGTCCTCATCAACGTCCAAGGAACGCAAGAGAGGAGGACAAGCAGGGAAAGAAACAATTGAGATGTATAGCTATACCATCAACCT